TCCCAGAGGTTTCTTACATTATCTTCAATTTTCTGGATTCTCTTGCCTTCTAGCTTCTGTGGAGGAGTGTCTTTTGGCTCTTTATGTTCCAAATCTTTGACTTGATTCTTGTGATCTTCCCTTCTGTTTTTAGGACTCTGTAAAATATTTTTTATTTCAGATAATGTATTCTTTATTTCTTGTTGATCCCTTATCATTTCTTGATGACTCCTTATTAATTCTAGGTGATCTCTTTTCATATCCTCATAGGTCTTATCCATCTTTTCTAGGAAATTCTTGAAAAACCTTATAAGCATAGATTTGAACTCTATATCCAGACGCTTTTGTCCTCCATTTCTTTCGTTTGTGATCTATTTTGTTGTCGCATTTCGCAGTTACAGATGGGACGGGGTTTCAGGGTGGAGCCTGCAGCTTTGGCTTCCATCAGCCCCACCCTATGCGGGTCCTCTGAGAGAAAGGTGCCCTTGATTTTCGCCTGCTGCCAAACAGTCTATGCTCTCCCCCAATAAGCCGGTATTGGGGTTCAGTTGGAAATGGAGTTGGAGGTGGCGTTCAGAGCAGTCTGGAGCCCCAGTCTCCTTCCGGCCAGGGCAATCCCACGGCACAGCCGGCCGTCCCTTCTCTGCGTGCAGTGTGCGCGCCTCCGGGACCTCCTTTCGCCGCTCCCCGGGGTTCTGCCTTACAGCCCGGCTCCCTATGGCTGAACCTGGGTCCCCGGAGTCTGGCCTAGAGCTGGGGTTCAGAGCAGCCGGGGGCCCAGCACAGTCAGAGTTTTATCTCCTTTCCGCTAGGGAACGCCCGCCAGGCACTCCGCCTCCCCCTCCTCTCTAGCTCCGTCCTCTCCGCGCACCGCGTGTCTCCATACCTTGGGCTTTTCCAGCTCCTCCGCACTTCCTTCTGGTTTTCTCCTTGCTTCTTGTTGTAGAATTTACAGTCAGTCAACTTTCTTGTAGTTCTGAGTAATGTTCGTTTTATATTTTAGTTGTATTTTATTGAAATTGTTGTGTGCGGCTGCGGCTAGGTGTTTACCCCGGCGCAGCCGTCTTGGATCCTCTGCTTGGTGTTTTTGAATGAATTAATATGCATCAACCAGTTAACCTTCTCTGCATCTCAGTTTTCTTTTTCTTAAATGAACATTTAAAAGAGAATCTACTTCATATTTTTGGTGAGAGTCCAATGTAAAGACTTGGCATCCTGTAGACCCAGTGCCACCATGCACAGACACCTGTCTGCCAACCACAGCCCATTAGCATTGCCCACCAGCTATTGCCTACCTTAGGCTCACTCCTGTCACCTGGCCCAGCTGAGAATATTAAAAATGTTTTACTTTTTCCCCAAAGTCCTTCTTTACCAAGTAAGATCTGGAATTAGTCTGCAAGTCTGCCAGCTGTGCTGGTTGGTCTACAGTTCAGCTGAGCCCAATGGGCTCCCATTTTCCTGGAAAGCACAACCTCAGCCTCTTGTCTCTGAAGCCCCACCATCCTCCTGAATGACTGACCCTCCTTTTCTCCATCTACCTCAGTTCCTAATGTCCCAGTTAAGTCGGGGATTGGGTTGAAGGACTGATTCCTACAACTCCCCATGGATCTCTGTATTCTGACACTGCCTCTATCTGAATGGCCCTAGTTCATGAGACCTTTCCATTAAATATCCGAAGTAATGACTCTTCCTTAGGACAGACTTCCAGGAGTGCAGTGTCTCCATCAAAGAATATAAGTCTTTCTGAGGGTCTTGTAAAGTACATGCTCACTATTGGTTTCCCTAAGGGTTGAATACTTTCATATTCACTCTGTTACACCACAGTGTAATTAGTGAGGGGGGTAGTGGATCCCAGTTTGCTTTGAGGCCAGTTTCTAAAAGTTTGCTTACAAAAAGTATGGTTCTATTTTTATTTTTATTTTTGCCAAAAATTTGTTCCTATTCTTTATTCCCCATCTCCCTCCCTATTGCTTGCAATATCTTAATAGCAATCAGGTGGCAGAGCTTACACATTCCCTGGAAAGATCAATGCTGGAAAAGGCAACCTGCCTTTTCCTATGCAAGAGGGGGTCCAAGTTGGGGGTCTGAGTGGAGTGGCCATTGATGGGATCCCTGGGAAAGAGTGGGGGTGGCTTTAGTAGAGAGAGCACTGGCTGGAAGTCAGTTTTTTGGAATTCTAAAACTGGCTCAGCCTTGCATCACATTTAGCTTCCATTTACTTCTTGAAGACTTCCTGTATGCTATATATTATCCAACCACCACAGAGGAAGCATCCATCACCAAGGTTTGTGTCTTAGGCACCCAGTCATTTTATGAGGGCTTCAGGCAATGCAAAGCCTAAGAAAAATCTGTGTGCTCCTGGGCCACTGGGCAATATTTATTAAAATGGAAGTTCTGATGGCTGATTTGTAAACCAGGTCATTGTGATGCAGGAAAGTATGTTGACCAGGGTGGATGAGTTTGGTCTTGTTAAATTTTGCCTCCAGGAGGGATCTGGAGATGTTGGAAGAGAAGAAGTGGAACAGCATGCTCATGGATGAAGTAGCACCTGGTGAATGAGTTTACTTTTTGTCTTTTAGTCACTGACCTGTCCACTTGGACACTACCCTGGTGACTGAGGATACATTTCATAATGGTGTCCAGAGCCATTAGGAAAGGTGCTCAAAGAATTTCAGTTGCACCATGAGTGGAAAAAAAATATTTGGGGGCATTTGATTCAATGACAACATAAACACAAAATTGTTGGACTCTTAATTTTCCCCAAAGGATTTAATTATTTGATGAACATATTTTTTCATATCCAGAGGAGGAGGATAAATTTGATCTGCCCTGGAAGCCCAGAGAAGTCTAACCTGTAATTTCACATTCTTACACTGAAGATTCAATGGAGGGCTCTCATAAACTCGAATCCAGAAATTCTACTTCTAAGATTTATCTTACAAAACATTCAAATAAGTTTACAAAGATATTTGTTAAAAATATTCATAGCAGCACTGAGTGTGGCATAATACACTGAGTGGCCAAATTATTATGATCTCTGAATGCATAGTAATCTGGCCACTAAGTGTATATCCTATATAACAAGAGGCTAATATGCAAATTGTCCCCTCGACCAGGAGTTTGACCAATAGGCCAGCCAACTGACCATGTCTCCTCCCCCTGGCCAGGCTGGCCAGATCCCACCCATGCACGAATTCATGCACTGAGCCTCTAATATATATAGTGGCCAGATAATTATGCATTCAGAAATCATAATAATCTGGCCACTCAGTGTAAAATGTCTTGATAACAACTTTCCCAGTTCAGGTCTTTTTCATGGGTTTTCATTGTCTCTTGGGCATCTGTTCTGTTGGGGCCCGCCACGTACCTCCCATTCAATATGTACAAAACAGTACTCACCATTAAAGCCCTGCTTCCCAGTCCATTTCTCCCTCTTAGGTGTGGCAGTGACACATGGCCTCACCCCCACCATTTCAAAGTGCCATTATTTTGCTGCTAGGAGGCCCAGGAGAAAAAGTAGGGGTAGCTTCCATGATAATCTTTCAGATTTCAACTTATATGTTACCTTCTTAAAAAGAATTTTCTAGATAAGCCAATTCAATGTGAGTTCTCCTTGATTACTGTATAGCTGAGCCCACTCATTTCCTCATGGCACTTAATATAATTTGTAACTCATTCATTTTTTACTTCAGAATACCAGCTCCATGAGGGCAGGGACTGTGTCTATTAATCCACTGAATCTCTAATGCTTATCAAAATGTCTGATATGTAGTAAGCACTTAAATATCAAATGAGTGATGAATCTGAAAATCATTAAGAAATTGTTGCTGGTTGTGGTGGCTCAGTAATTGAGCATAGACCTATGAACCAGGAGGTCATAGTTCGATTCCCAGTCAGGCACATGCCTGATTGCAGGCTCAATCCCCAGTAGAGGGCATGCAGGAAGCAGCCAATCAATGATTCTCTCTCATCACTGATGTTTCTACCTCTCTCTCCCTCCCCCTTCCTCTCTGAAATCATAAAATATATATATATATTCCTGTTCAGGCTTCACAAGAGTTGTTAGCACCAGGAAAATATGTAAAGTTATCTTGATAATATTCCAAATGAAGGCTTTGTTGGCTAATACTCAAAGCCCAGAAATCATGCAGAGAAGTTTATCTATCTTACTTCATGAAAATGTAGAATTCTATATGGTAAGTGACAACATAAGAATTGTTTAAAAAGGAAAGTGTGAAAAATTACAAAGAACAGTTACAATCAAGGATTATTATCCATAACATACAAAGAACTCACATGAATCAAAAAGAAAAAGACAACACCATAGAAAAAGAAACATAGATGACGCACAAATCATAGAGAACAAAACAAAAATAAGTACAAATGGCCAATAAGCATGTTTTTAAAACTACAAATAAGTTAAATATCTAATAATAGGAAAATAGTTAAATAAATTATGGTACATCATGAGCCAGGATTGGGAATGAGATTTATTTTTATTAAGTGATAAAAAGCAAGAACAATATGGATATGATCCCATACAGATGCACATATGAAATGTATAGGAAAATGTTCAAAAAATGTTCAAAAGAATGCACATCAAACTATTCAGCTCCACAGAGATCCCTATTGCACCTACCCATGACCTTCGCACCATACTTTGATTCCTCTCCATGTTTTTGAAGCATTAATAGTAATTTAATTTTATTTTATTTAATTAATTAATTAATTAATTAATTAATTTTTTGATATATTCTTATTGATTTTTCACAGAGAGGAAGAGAGAGGGATAGAGAGTTAGAAATGTCCATGAGAGAGAATCATTGACCAGCTGCCTCCTGCACACCCCCCACTGGGGGATGTGCCCGCAACCAAGGTACATGTCCCCGACCGGAATCGAACCCGGGACCCTTCAGTCCCCAGACCGACGCTCTACCACTGAGCTAAACTGGTGCCAGCAATTAATAGTAATTTAATTTTAAATAAAATTTTATAATAAATCTAGCCTTGGGCTCTAAACATTAGGAAATTTTTTTCAAGGACAAGTAAAACCCATTCTTGGGTTTGAGGATAATCTTGGGTACAAGGATAAGTGGCCTGGTAGGGTCGAGCGTCATCTCGAAGCGAAGCAGAATCATGGCAATGGCCATCTTTATCTCAGTCATGGCAAAGTGCTGCCCGATACAGTTTCTGCAGACACAGAGAGAAAAGCAGAGATATTCAAACAAACGTGTTTCTCCTGACTCTGCAATACGATCCTAGAATAGTAAGTCTGATGTTCCCAATAAAGCAACATGTTCATTCTAAAAATGCCATACAAACTTTTGTACTTTGGGTTTACATGGTCTCCTGTGAGAATGTGAGCTGGGAGGCTCCAATGCAAGGGTTTTCCTAACCAAGGTGGTACTTGGCGTTGCTCAGAGTTGTTTCTGCTGTGAGGATCTGATAGAAAACATGGTGACTGTTGTTCACAACACTGTATTTTATAATTGTGATGTGCTAAGAAAGTAAGTGACAATTACACAATGGTGTATATTTCACACACACATACAAATACATGAGGTGAAGGATGGGGAGGAATCTTTTCACAGTGAAGATGTATATGAAATCATCATGATGTACACTTTAAAGACCTTGGAATTTTATATGTTAGGTATACATCCATAAGGCTAAAATAAAAAACAACACCTTTTTCTATTATTAGAAAAAAAAATGCAGCCTACTTGCGTTGGGGGTGGACTGCATTGAGCCTCTGAGCAACAGCTTGCTCATGAGATAGCTTTCTGAGGTGTGACTACCTAGGATGTCATAGAGAGGGGTGTTGTCCTTTGTGAAACTAACTGGCCCTCTCAGAGGTTCAACGAAGCACCAAGATCTCCTCATGGCCAGGTGAGAAGATGGAGCTCCATGGAAGAATTTACAGAGCTGAGGGACTAAAGGAAAAATGCTGTCTCCAAGTTAACATTTTTGTATATTTTCAGCAGCTTCAACTTGTCCTCACCTTGGTCCAGCTGAGAATGGTAGGAAGGAGTAGGTGTGTCTCTTTTCAAGATTATCTGGAGAGAACCTCAAGGGGTCAAAGACCTGAAATGAGAGGTCACCCCCAACACCATTAACACATTCTTAAGCTACTACTTAATAACTTAAGAATCAACCAAAATATACTGTGAACCACATAAATAAATTCAAATGTTCTAATAGTCACGTTTTTAAAGGATGTAATGAATTTTAATCATGGAATTTATTTAACAGAAAATATTATCATTCTAACATCTATCCAATATAAATAATTATTAAGGAAATAGTTAATATTTTTGGGTACATGTTTAAAATCCAGTGTGAATTTTTTCCAGCACATCAGCTTTGACCAACCACATTTCAATGTTCAATAGCCACATGTGTTAATGGCTACCATGCTGGACAGTGCAACTCTAGACCTATGACCTTGTCTGACTTCCCAAGTGACTAATCTGCTATCCAGACTAAGTAAGGGGAAAGCAGAAATGCTATGCTAGTGGTATGATTTTCACTTTGGAGGTAAGAGAGCACCTACCTAGAAGTCAAGTCAAAATGATTGTATAATCATTGTTACTGGGCTATGCAGGCCAACTTCCCATTACATGTAACCGATCTTTAATCCTAGCAGCTTTTATAAAAGGAAGCATCAAATATGTGTTTAAAGTTTTGAGAACATCGAATCAAGGAACTCAGGTATGCTACACCTCTTCTTTTTGTCTCTCTAGATCCTTTCTCCTCCCTGTTCTGGGCTCTAAAAAGCTTAGCCAAATGTTGTTCTGTTTGGTTTGGCCAAGAAAAGACATTGATAGGAGGCCTGAAGGGTGGGAGGAGAGAGCATTCAGGGTATTTACTTCCTGGGCCCCTACATGCCAGGTTGTCTAAGGTGGGCTGCATGCTTGACAGTCACAGCTCCTGTCTGATGGCCTTTTCCAAAAGCTCTCTCTCTCTCTCTCCAGGCTCATCACCCTCTCCTGTGACTAACCAGGCCAAGAAGTGGTAAGCCCTTTGACAGTTATTTGCTCCATTTTGCTTTTCTTAAACCCTAACTTATACCTTTTCAAAAGTTCTTTCATAGAAGTCTTCTCAAATTGCCCAACTTGAGGGATACTTGATTTCCTTCCAGAATCCTGATTGTGAAATCCAGGAAAAGGGGTCTCTGCTGACCATGGGCACTCTGCAGATATCTAGGTAAGTGCGTGGCAGAGCCTGCTGAGTAAATGGCCACAGCGACTAGAGCAGCCCATGTGACATTGGCACATTTGCTCATTCAAAGCAAAAATAAAGTAAGAATAGAGGGATAGGACCATTTTCCTTTAGTGAGAAAGTTTTACATTTTTTTGGTTTTTATGTTTATTTTTGTTTGCTATATTGTTGTCCACTTCCATACAGAGTCAACAGAAAGTGATTTGGATGGCATTGGTTCTTTGAAGTATTTATGCAGAAGATAGTCATACCTTGGGGTTTTCCCAGATGGCAGGGTTGTGGTGAAGACCCCAAATACTGAGAACCACAGTCATTCCTGAAAAAGGGAAGAGATAACAGAATGCAGGAGAAAGAGTAAGCGGTGGGCTACTGCTTTACCACTCTTCAAATATGACTTTTCTTCTACAAGGACAAGAGCTAGTTCCTGGCAGAGCTGTGGGCACTGCAGCTGATGCACAGAGTGAATGTCCTGTGGGAAGATGACGCTTGGTGGCACCTGAGTTTTCAAAGCAATGATCTATTTAACACATGACTCTATCTTAAAGAGCAATTGGTATCACGTCAAAATATGCTTATGCTTTCTGCTGTCTCTGGAAATCACTTATGCAGTGATCCCTCCTTATCCATGGGGACACATTCTAAGAACCCAAGTGAAACTGGGGGTGATACCAATAACATATTGCAATGAAAATTATGTGAATGCCATCTCTCTTTCAAAAATCTTATTGTACTGCACTCACACGTCTTGTGATGATGTGAGATGACAAAAGGCCAAACCTATTCCTGAATCTGTGTAAACATCCCTTAGTGGCCATAAATGGCTGGGTGTCACTTATTTTAGTGGACCCTTTGCTGAAGTCTTCGTAAGGCTCAATGCTTCTAGCAACACATTGCCATTGAGCAGAACACGATTTCTGTTCATGTTTTCCACCCACAAATTTAATGCCTTTTCTATCTTCACTCAGCATGTATCACACACAGTAGCCATAAGTTTTGCAGTTTGAGCTGCAACAATAAAACTAGCACAAATTTCTTTTCCCTTCTTCACAATTTCACAAATAGAAAATTAGTTTTTATGGTAGGAGTATAGCAAACTCAGCATATAAGAACTTCCACCTTTTCGCTTTACAAAAGCACTTATAGTTGCTCCTTGGAATATCTGAATTGCTGGCATCACTACTCTTGTGCTTTGGGGCCATTGTTAAGTAAAATAAGGGTTTCAGACCCCAGGTAACATGGAAATGAAAGCATGGATAAACAGGCACTACTGTATATCTATTAATGGACTATAAAGCAAAATTGGGGATAGTTTGAAGACATAAGAACAGAGCTGTAATTCTATAATACAAATCCAATGTCAAGTTTCTGTTGGTGCTGTTCCTATATACAGGGTGGGGAATTTTGACAAATACCTATGTAGTTTGGGATTAAAAAACAAGCCATATAAGAGAGAGGATTTAGGATTATTTGATTACCAAAATTAATTCTTTGTCTGTCAACAATGTCACAGTAACTAACAGGTTGTCAGCTTGTTACTAACGGCAAGAATAAATAGAACAATGAAGCAGATATGCGAAGGATGTCTCACGTGAACCCTCTGCCTCCCACCCCCTCTGCTTAGAAACGTGTGTTGTTCTGAAGAGCCCTGGGCTCTGGGTATGGGACTACTGCATGAGCTCTAGCTCTTCTGGCTGCACACTGGAGTCCCCCAGGGTTTTTTTTTTGGTGACGCCAAAAGTATTTGAAAGGGCTTTTAAACTGCAACGCACTATAGAATTGTTTGCTAAGATAGTGTTCCAAGAGAAAAATGAGATAAAATGTTTGAAGGCTCTATGTAAAATAGTAAGTGCTGCTCACTTATTAGGGTGATATTGTGATGACAAAGAAGCTGAAAGCTTTCCTTGGGTCTTCTAGATAAAAATAATGGTGTTCATTTCCCATGAAGTCTCGTCTGGGTCTCAAACTCAGCCAAACAAGAATTACCTTTAAAATAATGTTCCAACAATGGAAGAAAACCTGGGTTTGGAATCTTATGACACAGGTTCTGGGCATAATTTTGTTGCAAATGGTGATGTGCCTTTGGGAAAGTTGCTGAAACACATCAGAGAATGTCTCCTGTGCCCCACCTTAAGCCCGGTATCTTTAGGATTACCTTTTGACTTCTTCAAGAGTTGAGAAACCTACTGATATTTTACTGTGGTCCTTGGGGTCCCACAATATCTAGCTGCTTAAGAAATGAGGGCACAGACCTGCAGGCAAGGAGCGTCCATCGGGGAAGGTAATGGGCTTGCTGAGTTGTCTGGAAATGGATATGATTGTAGGGTACAATCGCAAAGTCTCCTTGATACACATTGTAGTGTATGTCATCTTGCTCAGATGGTCCCTGTGAATACAAGGGAAAGGAACTCAGACTCCACATCCAGTTTGCAAATATTGATTTTTTTTCCTACTTGATGTTTGTTCCTGATAAATATCATCCTCCTATTAGAGCTATTTTTCCAATTGTTTATGCAACAGCATTTTAAAATGGAACTCCTTCCCAGTGGATAAAGAACCAAACAGATGCCAAATATCCCCATTACAAAGTGAGGTGCTAAAGTACTGGAAAAGGATTTGTTAAGTAGATTTCTGAAAACCAGTTTTACAAACCTTAGCTCATTATACAAATCCAGACTGTATAAGGAATGGCTAAGGACTGAAGAAAAGAGGCTTGAGAGTGTTGATAGAAAAAAAAAAAAAAAAAAAAGAATGCTTTCAAGAGAAGTGTTGGAATGCCAAATTTGCCATGGAGAGAATGGAGGAAGGTTAAGTAAAAGGGGCTTCAAGAGGATTAGTCAGGTGATCTGATGTGTGCTCCATGGAGTTTGGAAAGCACATGATAGATAGAAAAAGCCATGACTGAACAGACAGAGAGAGGCAATGGAGAGCAACAGGGACAAAGCAAGAATGCTCCCATGTGTCCTGTGAGCCAATGATTTGAACTGGTCAGAGGCAGAGCTCTGGAACCAGCGTGGGGGAAATTCTAAGGACAAGAATTCCCTTGTTTCACCCTTGCAAAGTCCCTGTGAGGGAATCTCCAAGAAACCCATAGGGGTAACTATTGAGAATAAAAGGAAGCATTTGAATATCCACCAAGTTCAGAGGGCAAGGTCACAATAGTACCAGCCACTTTCTACTTATCCTCTCTCCTGCCTGGGCCCATTTCTGGAAGGGTCAGAAACAGCAGCATAGGGGAAGAGCTGGTGAATAAGAGGAAGCTGTCCATAAGCCCCTTACCCACCACTGGGTTCCAGACCCAAAGAAGTAGTACTGAGCTGGGTAGGAGGTGATGCTCCAAGTAGATAGGAAATGTAAGTTGTTTTTTTAAAATATATTTTATTGATTTTGTACAGAGAGGAAGGGAGAGAGATAGTTAGAAACATCAATGGGAGAGAGTCATCGATCAGCTGCCTCTTGCACACCTCCTACTGGGGATATGCCCACAACCAAGGTACATGCCCTTGACCGGAATCGAACCTGGGATCCTTCAGTCCCCAAGCCGATGCTCTATCCATTGAGCCAAACCGGTTTCAGCGGAAATTTAAGTTTTTAATATTCCACTGCATCAGACAAATTAATTACTAGAATGAGACTGCTCTTTTTTTTTTTTTTTTTAAATCAATCAGAATATGTGAGATTCACTTCTACTTTCACAAAGCAAGTTTGAAGTGTTGGCAGGAGAAGAACAAAGTTTTTGTCGTTGTTATTTTGTTTTTTAAACATATTTTTATTTATTTCAGAAAAGAAGGGAGAGGGAGAGAGAGAGAGAAACATCAATTGAGAAAGAATCATTGATTAGCTGCCTCCTGCACGACTTCCACCAGGGAAAAAGCCCATAATCCAGGCATGTGCCCTGTCCAGGAATTGAACTGTGACTTCCTGGTTCATAAGTTGACACTCAACCACTGAGCCACGCTAGTCACGCAAGAATGAAGTTTTTCATTTGCACCCTCACTAGTCAGGTTGGTTTAATAAAATGATAGCATATAGTATTTAGTCTTTTTGCTCTATTGTATTTCTATTTGCTTTTCTGATTACTTATTTTGAATGCAGGCTTTGATCATTCTGACATGTGAAATCTTATTTTTGAACACTTTCCTCCTTGAGCCCAGAATAAAAAGATTCATGTGCTTAGACTGGAACTTAGCATATTTAAGAGAACAATGCTATCCACTATAGCCTAGTGTAAAAAGAGAGAGGAATTTTAACCCAAAGCAGAAATGGGCTAAGAAACTAGATAAAAACATTGAACAAATTTTCAGCTTTCTAGAAACTGTTTTTTTGTAGTATGGTTTTATTATCTGTCTAAAGGAATTATCAATTCTCAGAATTCTATGTACAAATTTTATTAAGTATAATTATAAGGTCATATTACAGAATAAAAACATATTTATTCCCTATAATTGCCATTACTCTCATTAAAACAAATGAAAGTAAAAAGGTCCTCTGTACTGTGTTTTCTCACCTGGAAAATAGTTTTCTTTTTGCTTTCACATTTTACATAAACCCAACGAGAACAAGAATGATCACTAGTTGAGTTGTATATATATCTACCATAATCAAGATTAAAATATTAATTACTGTTGGAGATGGTATACAGTATTTTCAATTTCAATGAATGAATAAAAATGACTAAGTAATATTTCATTTTGTGTTATATTGATCAGACCTTTAATTTATAATAGGAAATGATGATTATTCTTTTAAAAAACATATATTTTATTGATTTTTTACAGAGAGAAAGAGAGAGAGATAGAGAGTTAGAAACATCGATGAGAGAGAATCATCGATCAGCTGCCTCTTGCACACTCCCCACTGGCAATGTGCCTGCAATCAAGGTACATGCCCTTGACTAGAATCGAACCCGGGACCTTTCAGTCCACAGGCCAATGTTCTATCCACTGAGCCAAACTGGTTTTGGCTTATTATTATTATTATTATTATTAAATATATTTTATTGACTTTTTACAGAGAGGAAGGGAGAGAGATAGAGAGCTAGAAACGTCGATGAGAGAGAAACATAGACCAGCTGCCTCTTGCACACCCCAACCAGCGATGTGTTCGCAACCAATGTACATGGCCTTGACCAGAATCGAACCCGGGACCTTTCAGTCCACAGACTGACACTCTACCACTGAGCCAAACCGGTTTCGGCTATTATTATTATTTTTTATTAAAAAGTGAGATCTCTGCTATACCCATTAAATTCAAATACCTTTACAAATGTTCTAGTTGAGCTGACATTTGTATTTGAAATATGATGATTTCCCTCTAACCATGGGGCTGCATTACCCTTAACATTTCTATTTTTCTGCCCCTCTGACCCGCAAAACAACGATATGTGAAATACCTAGCTAGAATGAAGAGAGTGTTCTTTGCAAACAGCATAAAAACAGGAAAATTCATAAGCTGTGCTTTGTTAACAGCAAGATATGCTTAAACTCTAGCAAAATGAAATTTTCCATCTGGCTTTTACCCATCCTATAAGAAGTACCTTAAGCATCAGATCTTCCAGAAAGTATCATTGAGACCCCCATGCCAGGTTAGGCACCTATCTTCTAAGTGGTTGCTAACACATATCTCTTAGCCATATCATGCTATTCTGCAATTATCTGTATGGAAGGGGGTGGGGGAGCTCATTGAGGGTAGGACCCATACCAAATCTTGCAGTTTTAGTGCCTCAGTATTTAAAATGTCGTCAGTCCATATTTGCTAAACTCAGCTTCAGTGTGCATCATTTAGTACTATGCTCAAAGTCCAAAGCCAATCCTGAGGAGTAAACAAGGAGACAGGAGAGACTTAAATGACACAGATATTCATTCAGGTCTCTCAGAAGAGGAGCCCCTCTTGAGCCCTACCACTCAAGCTCTAAATGCAAGTCTACTGATCAAGTCCCCATTTCCAATGCACTGGAAACAGGATGAAAGAAATAAATAAGATATTTCATACACTACTACTTAGAAAAAACAATGAAACATGTAATTTATGGATACATGAAGCTCTTTTTCAAAAGGCAAAGGGATAGCTTTGGGGCTTCTAGAGAAAGAGAGGAATAGTAGCCTCCCTCATCTGTTTTTACATACACATCTTTTGAAGCACTAGTCACTAAGGTGCCAGAAGAAGAAAGAAGAAAGCAAAATCCCAGGAGGAAAACAGGATAAATTGTTTAGGGATGCAGAATCTTACCAGGTGATGGAAGATTCATCCCCCAGAATGCCCCTGATCTCCTCCCGGCATCTTTCCTGATGCTCAGGGTTCTGAGCCAGGTTGTAGAGGAGCCAGGAAAGGCTTCCTGCTACGGTGTCTTGCCCTGCCACCATGAATGTGTTCACCTCAGCATGCAGGTCAGTATCTGAGAAGCTGTTGTCATGTTCAACCTAGAAAGTATAATAGAGGTATGTTTATGCAATTTCAGTTTATAGATGCTTGGAGCACCAATCAAAATAATGGATTTAAAAGAATAAAATTACCATTTCCAACACAAGTTTCAATTTTAACTCAGTTCAACAAATATATACTTCAAGTCACACTTTGCCCAGAACATAAAGGAGGGCCAAAGCTGGAAAAGGACAGTAGGCCTTGCAGAGTTCATTCAAGCATCCTGTCAGACTTATCCAGCATCTTATCATCAACATTTTATCAGCTTACCTGTGACCCATTTCCTTGTTTCCCTGAACTAATATGTATTTTTATTATAGTAACCAAATCCTGTCAAATCAGCAAAAAATATAGTCCAATCTGATTTACTCTAATGACAAAGCTATACAATTCTATCTTTACCACAGATTGTATGGAGCCAACCTATCAATTCAAAAGTATTATTAAATTTAGTTGATCAATTTTACATTAGTCTCTCCTACTTCCAGTCATTCACCTACCCACACAGTTACTTAGATATATGAGCAAGCTCAGAAATGTGAAAGATTTACCTGGGCAGAAAGTAAAATATCCAAAAAATCCCGATAATTCCTATTGTCAGTTTTACCATGCTCCTTCTCTTCCTTGAGGGCTTTCCTTCTCTCCTGGATTATCTTGTCTGTGGTATAATAATTACCCATTATCAAGTGACAACAAAGTAAATCAAAGAAAATAAATTTTAAAGCAAGCCATGGCCCATAAATAACTTTAAATCTTGTTTAATTTCTTGAGATCAGAGTGGGTATATCTATTAAACAGATTTAATTTTGCAGACATTTCCCCATCAAATGACAAATTTTTATCAAAGCTCCAAAGACTGAGGCTTAGAGTCAAGATAGCAGGATAAATAAATGTTGTGCTTGCCTTCTTCCATTATTACTCAAAATTGCAATTAATTATAGAAAAACCATCTTTGAGAACTACTTGAACACAAGCTAACTAGTACTCCTACAATCAAGCATATAAAGAAGAAGCCATATTGAGACTTCTAAGAGGGGTGGAGATGCAAAATGAGCTTGTCCCATATCCACATGTTGTAGTTAACAATTGGGAGGGACATGAATGGGCTAACAGCACCCAAGACTCAACTACAACAGAAGGGCTCAATAATAAATAGAAGAGACATTCTTGAAGCACCTAGCACAGGTGATCAGGAAGAGTGCACCACTGAGCCCCCACAAGACACCTACTAGATACGATCATAATAACAAGATAGGGAGACTTAGCAGATCTACCTAATACATGGAGACAAACACATACAGGCAGACAAAATGTAGAGACGAACAAATGTATCCCAAACGAAAGAACAAAAGAAATTCACAGAAAAAGAACTAAGTGAAATAAGCTACCAGATGAAGAGTTCAAAACAATGGTTATTAGGATGTGCAAGGAATTTAGGAAAACAATGGAGGATCTTAGTGAGAACTTAAAGAGATAGCAAGCATTAAAAAGGACATAAAAACCATAAAAAATAACCAGTCAGAAATGAAGAACACAATATTTTAAATGAAGAATACACTAGAAGGAATCATCAGCAGGTTAGATAAAGCAAAGGATAATAGTGTCAATAATAAAAATTAAGTAAAAAAAAAACAATAACTCAGCATTTAGAGAACAAGATAACAGAAACACAGCAACAAAGTCTGGTCTGAGATGAATGAATAAAAAAAGCTGTGGTACATTTATGCAATGGAATATCAGTAAGCCATAAAATAAAAATTTTAAAAAAAGGAAAATTTACCCTTTGCATTAGCATGGATGGACCTGAAGAACATTATGCTAAGTGAAATAAGCCAGTCAGAGAAAGATAAATACCATATGATTTCAGTCATATGTAGAATCTAGTGAACAAAAGAAACTAACAAACAAAAAAGAGATAGACTTATAGAGAGCAGGCTGACAGCTATTGGGGTTGAGGGAGGGTTGAGTGAGGAAAGTGGGGGAGAGATAGATAGAGAAATTCATTCATGGACACAAACAACAGTGTGGTGATTGCTACAGATAGGATTGCTGGGGGTAGAGAAGGTGGGTGAAAGTGGAGGAGAGAATGGGGGGATAAATTGTGGTGGGAAAAAAATATTTAAGAGAATAGATAGATGATAGGTAGATACATAGATAGACAGATAGATGGTTCTATCTTTAAAAAAGAAAGTTATAAAACATAAAAATGTATTTTAAACATAAGGAAACACTAAGGGATTTCTGGGACAATATGAAGCATAACAACATTCACATCATAGGGGTACCAGGAGGAGAAGAGAGAGGGAAAGTCTACTGATCAAGATATTTGAAGAATTTATTTGAAGAAATAATAGGTAAAAATTTCCCTAATTTGGTTAAGGAAAAAGACCACCTGTCCAGAAAGCACAGGGAGTCCCAATTAAGATGAACTCAAAGAGGCACACACCAAGACACATTACAATTAAAGGGGAAAAGGCTATAGATAAAGATAATCTTAAGAGCAGCAAGAGAAAGATAGTTCCATACAAAGGAGCTCCCATAGGCTGTCAGCTGATATTTCAATAGAAACACTTCAGGCCAGAGGAATTGGCATGATATATTCAAAGTAATAAAAATCAAGTACCTACAACCAACACTACTCTGTTGAGTAAGGCTATAAAATTAAAGGTGAAATAGTTCTCAGAGAAGAAAAAGCTAAAGGAGTTCATTGCCACCGAACCAGTATTATAAAAATATTAAAGGGTTTTCTTTAAGAAGAAGAAGAAGAAAAAAAGAGGAACATAGTTATAAAGACTAAAAAGGGCAATAAATATGTACCTATCAATCACTACTTTAAATGTAAATGGATTCAATGCTCCAATAAAAAGACATAGAGTAGGAAGGAGGATCCAAGATGGCTGCTCAGGTAGACACCTAACCGCAGCAGCACACAACAATTTCAATGGAATACAACTAAAATGTAGAGTGGACATTGCCCAGAGCTACAGGTAGTTGACTGACTGAAAATTCTACAACAAGAAGGAAAGAGAAAACCAGAAGGAAAATCAGAGGAGCTGAAAAAGCCTAAGGCACGGAGACATGCTGCGCACACACGCACGTGCACGGAGAAGATGGAGCTGGAGAGGAGAAGGCTGGGTGCCTGCCTGGCGTTCCCTAGCAGGAAAGAAATAAAACCCCCGGCCTGGGCTGAACCCCAGAACCAGCAAAGCCGAGCCCGTTATGGGCCAGACCCTGGGGACCCAGGCTTGGGCAGGGGGAGACGGGACTGTGAGGCGGAATCTCAGGGGAGCGGCGAAAAGCAGAGCCCCCGGAGTCGTGCACATTGCGCGCAGAGGACAGAATGTTGACTCTGATGCTGGATTGCCCTGGTGGGAAGAAACAAAACCTCCGGCGGTGCTGAGCCCCACTCCCAACTGCTCTGAACCCCAGTTCTCCAATCCCTGGGGACCCAAGCTCAAGCAGAAGGAGATGGGGCTGTGAGGTGGAGTCCTGGGGGAGCGGTGAAAAGCGAGTCCCCGGAGCTGCGCACATTGCGCGCAGAGGACAGTCTGTTGACTCTGATGCTAGACGCCCCTAGTAGGAAGGAGAAAAAAAGCTCCAGATTGGAGAAACGCGACGAGGAGCAGGAGCCCCTGCTGGACACTGGCCATCCAGGCGCTAGCAAGGAGCCGGGTGACGGGGCCCCCAGGGGAGGGTGCCCCTGGGTCTTCAACCGCTGAGTGCGGGCCACAGAGCCAAGGCCGGGGGCTGCTTCCTGGGCGGTGCCAACCCCTGCAACAGGCTGAAGCAGCACAGGAGCCCGCGAAGAACAAAGGGGTGCCACAGGCCAACCTGCTGAGCTTCCAGGACAAGGAGGAAGAAACCGAAGAAGTTTTCAATGTGAAGAAATCAAGTGAGAGCAAAAGATAGTAAAATTACTTAAGAAAGAATACAAAGAAGATCTTGAGAAATCGAAGACTAAGTCAGAACTCAACTCAGCAGCAACATTGCAACATAAATGTGTTTAAAAAAAAAAAAAAAAGGACAGAATGTTAGAATGGCAGTGGCCAGGCCTAGAGTGGCCAGGCACAAAGCAGTGGCTGCCGGGCCTGGAGCAGCAATAGCCAGGCCCCAGAGCAGCAGCAGTCAGAACCAGAGCAGCAACAGCCAGGCCTGGAGCAGCCAGACCTGGGGCAGTGGCAGCCAGGCCTGAGGCGGAGGCGGCCAAGCCCAGGGTGGCCAGTCCAGGAACACTCAGGCCCGGAGTGGCCAGGCCCAGAGAAGCAGGGCCCAGAGCAGCCGGGTTGGGAGCAGCCAGACCCAGAACATCAGCAGCCACGCCTGGAGCATCCAGGCCGGGAGCTTCCAGGCTCAGAGCGGCTGGGCCCAGGGCAGCCGGGCCCAGAGCAGCCGGGTCAGGTGCGGCCAGGCCCAGAGCAGCAGCTGCCAGGCTGGGAGCGGCCAGGCCTGGAGCGGCCAGGCCCAGAGCAGCCAGGCCCGAAGCAGCCGGGCCCAGAGCAACCGGGTCGGGTGTGGCCAGGCCCAGAGCAGCAGCAGCCACGCCCAGAGCATCCAGGTCGGGAGCGGCAGTGGCCAGACCCGGAGCAGCTGGTTGTGGAACGGACCAGAGCAACAGAGGCCAGGCCCAGAGCAGCCAGGCCTGGAACAGCTCGCTCCTCACCTGCCTCCGCCCCAAGGCTGCCTCTCAGACATGGCTGGAAACTTTTGGGGGAACTTGAGGATCTGCTGAATCAAATGAGGAAGGCTTAGATCTGGATGTATTAAATCAGTATAGCGCTGGCGTGTTGATCTGTGAGTGCCTTGTGTGGGACCTGGATGAGGTTGGTTGATCTATTTGGAAATGTCTTTTGTGTGAAGTGTATCCTTGGGCATGTGGAGGTATTATTGATTTGAGAAAATGCTAAGTAACTGATTTACTATCTGAAAAATTTAAAGTTCTGAAAGTTTAAGGTCTCTTGCCAAAAAGAGGTTTTAAAGCTAATACTTTAATTTTAAAGGGAATGACAAACCCTTCCCACCCAGAACAGGTAATCCAATTCCAACCAGCAGCTATGTTTAAACAATGTGTCCATTTATGGGAGGGGAGTGGACTGACTGTTCTTGGGGAAAGGGAGGGAGGAAGAGACTGAACATAACTATGCACTTATGGATGAGGACAATGGGGGGTGGGGAAGGGGCGAGGGTGGGGTGGGAACCTGGTGGAAGGGGAAGAAATGAGGAACCTTTGTAATAATATGAACAATAAAGATTGATTAAAAAAAAAAGACATAGAGTAGTTGAATGGATAAGCAACAAGACCCATATATAATATATGCTGCCTTCAAGAGATGCACTTCAGATTGAAAGATATATACAGTCTGAAAGTAAAGGATAGAAAAAGCTATTTTATGCAAATGGAAACAACAAAAAAGCTGAGTTAGTAATATTTATATCAGACAAAATAGTTTTTTTTTTTTTTTTAAATCCTCACCAGAGGATGTGCTTAGAGACAGGAAAGGAGATAGGTAGGTAGATAGATAGATAGATAGATAGATAGATAGATAGATAGATAGATATAGATCGACAAACATTAATGTGAGGGAATCATTGATTGGTTGACTTCCATATATGTCCTAACTAGGGATTGAACCCACAACCCAGGTATATGGAATCAAACCAGAAACGTTTTGGTGCATAACACAACACTCAAGCAACTGAGCTACTCCAGCTGAGCCAGTCAAAATAGACTTTAAAACAAAGGCTATAATAAGAGACAAAGAAGGACATTTAATAATAATAAAGGATCAATCAAACAAGAGTAGATAACCCTTGTAAACATTTATGCACTCAATGAAACATCAACTAAATAGAAAGGTAATAATGACAGATATAAAGGGACAGACAAGTTATATCAGGAGACTTTAACATCCTATTGAAATCAATGGATAGATCATCCAGACAGAAAAACAGTAAATGGTACATTATACCAGATGGATTTAATTTAACATTTTTTAGGATATTTTTTAGGATAGACCACATGGTAGTCTACAAAACAAGTCCCAATACATTTAAGAAGCATTTTCTTTGATCACATTGGAACTAGAAATCAATTACAAGAAAAAAATTAAAAAGCACACAAACACATGGAGGCTCAATAACATGCTACTAAACAATGAATAGGCTAACAGTGAGATCAATGAGATCAAGAGAGAACTCAAAAGATACTGGAGACAAATGATAATGAAAATACACTGATCCCTAATCTATGGGATACAGCCAATGCAGTTTTAAGAAGGAAATTCATAGCAATATACTTTCTTCAAGAAACAAGAAAAACCGCAAATAAACAATCTAACCTTACACTCAAAGAAACTAAAAAAAGAACAATAAAGCCCAAAGTGAAAAAGGAAAAAAATTATAAAAGCCAGATTGGGAATAATGAAATAGAGTCCAAGAAACAATATAAAAGATAAATGAAACCAAGAGCTGACTCCTTGAAAAACAAACAAAATCTATAAATATTTAAGCAGACTTATCAATAAAAAAGGAGAGAGAACCCAAGTAAATAAAATCAGAAGTAAAAGATGACAACTGACACCTTGAAAATATAAAGGGTTATAAGAAAATATTATGGAAAATTATATGCCAACAAATTGGACAACCTGGGAGAAATGGATAACTTCCCAGAAACACAATATTCCAAGACTGGAGCAAAAAGAAACTCTGATCAGACTGATTACAATTAATGAAATCAAAGCAGTAATAAAAAATCTCCCAACTAACATAAGTCCTGGACCAAATGGTTTCATGGGTGAATTTTACCAAATATTCAAAGAAGAACTAATACCTATCCTTCTCAAAGTATTCCAAAAAATTGAAGAGGAGGAGGGAAGATGCCCAAGCTCCTTTTATAAAGCCTGATTCCAAAACCAGACAAATACTTTACAAAAGAGGAAATTATAGACCAATATCCCTCATGCCATAGATATAAAAATTAACAAAATATTAGCAAACCAAATTTGGCAATATGTTAACAAGATTATACACCATGATCAAGTGGGATTTACTTCTGGGATGCAAGGTCAGTTCAATATCCACAAATAAATTAATGTGATAAACAAAATTAAGGATAAAAATAATATGATCATATCAACAGATGCAGAAGAAGCATTTGACAAAATCCAGCATTCTTTTTCTTAAAGTTATTTATAATAACTCTCAGAAAAGTGGAAATAGAGGAAACACACTTTAACATAATAAAGGCCACATATGACAAACCCATAGCCAACTTCATACTCAACAGTGAAAAGCTAAAAGTATTTCCTTAAAATAAAAAACAAGACAAGGATGTCCACTTTTATCACCTCTATTCAACACAGTATTGGAAGTTCTAGCTACAGCAATCTGATAAGAAAAAGAAATAAAAGACATCCAAAATGGAAAGGAAAAAATAAAACTGTCATATAATGACATCAGCATATAATGATGATGACATGATACCGTACATAAAATATCCTAAAGAATCCACCAAAAATATTAGAACTGATAAATTAATTCAGTACAGTAACAAGACAAAAATTAATATATAAAAATTGGTTGCATTTTTATGTCAACAATGAACTATAAGAGAATTGAAGCAAACAATCCCATTTAAAACTGCATCAGAAAAAAATAAATTAAATACCTAGGGATATATTTAACCAAGGAGGAAAAATACCTGTAATCAGAAAATTAAAAATCTTAAAGAATGAAATTGAAAAAGATGTAAATAAATGAAAGTATACATTGTTCTCATGGATAGGAAGAATTAGCATTGTTAAAATGTACATACTATCCAAAGCAATCTGTAGATTCAATGCAATTCCTATTAAAATATCAGTACCTTTTTTTTGTTGCAAATCCAGAATAAATAATCCAAAAATTTATATTGAACCACAAAAGACCCCAAATAGTCACAGCAAATTTTAGAAAGAACAAAATTGGAGGTATCACATTACCTGATATCAATCTATACTACAAGGTTATAGTTTTCTTATTGCCTTGGAGAAAACATAGACAGTAAATTCTCTGACATTGTTCTTAGTAATATTTTTTTTCTGATCATTCTCCTTAGGCAAAAGAAACAAAAGAGACCTCATAGCTAAGTGATTGAGCATTGACCTATGAACCAAGAAGTCATGGCTTGACCCCCAGTTGGGGCCCATGCCCAGGTTTGCCAGTTCAGTCCCTAGTGTGAGGTGTGCAGGAGGCAGCTGATCAATGATTCTCTCTCATTAAAGATGCTTTATCTCTCTCCTCTTCTTTCCTCTCTGAAATCAATAAAAACATGTTTAAAATTGTTTTTTAAAAAGAAATAAAAGAAAAAATAAACAAATTGGACTACCTCAAACTAAAAAGTTTTTGTACAGCAAAGGAAACCATCAACAAAATGAAAAGACAACTTAATGAATGTAAGAAGATATTCACCAATGGTCCATCAATTAAGGGCTATTATCCAAAATTTATAAAGTACTTATACAATTCAACATGAAAAAAATAAATACTCTAAATGAAAAATAAGCAAAGGCCCTGAATAGGCATTTCTCCAAAGAGGATATACAGATGACCAATGGATATATGAAAACACTCAATGCCACTAATTATCAGAAAAATGCAAATTAAAATTACAATGAGGTATCATCTCACACCTGTCAGGATGGCTATCATCAATAGATGAACAAACAAGTGTTGGCAAGGATATGGAAAAAAGTGAACCCTTGAGTATTGTCGGTGGGAATGCAAATTGATGTAGCCACTATAGAAAACAGTATGGAGGTTCTTCAAAAATTTAAAAAATAGAACCAGGGGCAAAGTGAGTAATCCAAAGTGAGTAGAAGGAATAGTAATAAAGTATCTATTTAATATGACCCAGAATTTTCATTTCTTAATATTTATCCAAAGACATTCAAACCACTAATGACCCAGAATTTCCATTTCTTAGTATTTATCCAAAGAATCCAAACCACTAATTTGAAAAGATATATGCACCCCTATGTTCAATGCAGCATTATTTACAATAGCCAATGTAAGGGAGCAACCTAAATGTCTATTTATAGACATTTGGCTAAAGAAGAGGTAGTACATATATAATATAGAATATTACTGGGCTATAAAATAGAACGAAATCTCACTATTTGTGACAGCATGGATGGACCTAGAGGATATTATGCTAAGTTAAATAAATCAGACAGAAAGACAAATGTAACTGATTTCACTTTTATATGGGACACTAGAAGCCCAGTGCATGAAATTTGTGTATGGGTATGTGAGTGTGTCCCTCAGCCCAGCATGTACCCTCTCCAATCTGGGACCCTCTGACAATCCAGAACTGCTGGCTCCCAACCACACGCCTGCCGGCCTGATTGCCCCTAACTGCTTATGCCTCCCAACCTGATCACTCCCTAACCACTCCCCTGCCAGGCTGATTGACACATAACTGCTCCCCTCACAGCCCAATTGCCCCTAACTTCCTCCTCTTGTTGGCCATGTCACCCCCAACTACCCTCCCCTGCAGACCTGGTAACTTCCAACTGCCCTCCTCTGCCAGCCCAGGTCACCCCTAACTGCTGGCTATCTTGTGGTGGCCATATTGTGTTTACATGGGGGCAGCCATCTTGTGTGTTGGAGTGATGGTCAATTTGCATATTACTCTTTTATTATATAGGATATTTAACATTGATTCAATTCCAGAAAATGTTCTTAGTGCTTTAAATATATAAGCATATTCATCATCACCATAAACCTATGAGTTACATTCTTTTATATCTTCATTTTACAGATAAAACTGAGACAAAGCTGTAAGTAATGTGCCCAAAGTCACACTGCTAGTAATTGGAGCTAAAGGAGGATTAATTAATTGCTTGATAAACATTTTCTATTGTTATGTTCATTAAAAGTAATATTGAATTGTTTAGAAAGTTTGATCTATTTCAACTTTTTGTTTATGGTTTGTGAATACTATTTTTGAAACAAGCTTTATAAATTTTATTTTATTTTTTTATTCTGGTAATAATGCTTCTCAGAGATGAACCCACTTAACACATTTTAAGTATAGAATGCAGTATTGTTAACTATAGGCATGATGATGTAGAGTAAGTCTCTGGAACTTATTTGTCTTTCATCACTAATACTTCATAACAATTGGTAACTCCCCATTTCCCCCTTCTTTGATTGTATGTCCCTGTTAACTCTGTCTCCCTATTCATTTCTGTGTTGCAGAAATATTTTTCGCTTGTCATTATTACTGAAAGCATCGTGCAAATAGCCAAATGCTATTTATGCTTTGAAATATTAAGTATGCACTTGTTATATTTGTATTAATAAAAATTATGCATAATAAAAATATAGAATACATTGGAAACTTCTCTCTCATAAGACACTATTATAAATGTAGCAAACTTCTCTAAAGGTCTTGCATTTAAAAGCTCCATTAAGAACAAGAATTCTTTCTCTTTTCACAACCAGATACCCAGGATATGGCTGAGTTATGTATCATTGGCCTATTCCTCTACACAGACACAATACAGTTATAATAATGTATGCACTCAAGCAACCCAAACCCAAGAAATACCTGTGTACTGATACAAATTGTTGGATATCTTCTGTAACTGGTGCTTCTCAGAGCTGAATTTGAAAATTATGTCATGGTGATATAAGAAACTGAGTGCGCGCTTATAGATGATTTCAGAGGCTTCACATATCCCTTTAGTATAATCATCAAAGGCACTAGAAAGTGGAGATAATATGTCAATAAGTGACTCAGATAATGGCAAACAAATGTTTTGTTTTTCCCCCCTCCTGTCACTAACCTGTTTATCTGGCAGTTGGTGTCCTTGCTGAAAGTACATTTCATGAGTGTGTCCAGGCTCATCAAGCTGATGTCATTAAAGACCTCCAAAACTGCTTCCTGAGTGCCACAAATCTTCTCCCATTTATCCTGGCACAGGAAGTCAAGATCAACATCACCATTCAAGTGCCTTTATCTGACCCTGCCCTTATGATGTAGGGGAGACAACCTAGCAGGAGCCAAAATTCATACAAGCAAATAAGCTAAATGTTTACTTAGCATCAGGAAGGAGGGAAAATGCACCCAGCTGGGTGAGAAAGAGCATGGAGCCAACTAGATACCCAGTAAATGTCTGAATTAAGTATCGATGACCTTTCAGTTATTACCATAACTCTGCTTTAAAACAGATAAGATACTAGTGAAAGAAATCATATTTGATACAAGTCCCATAATTACAAGGAGTCTGCCCAGGGCTTCCTCCACCTTCAGTTCCCAAACTGTTAGGTCCCCTCACCCCATCGCTACTTCTAACCACCATAACCACACTTAGAATAAACTTGGAACATTAAAAGTAAAAATATTAATAAATCTAAATGTTTAAGTTCAGATCAAATGACATTTATTTAGTGATGATACCTATAGCTAGGTGCTAAGGATTTGGAGGCCACAGGAAAAAAAAAGGCAAAGAGATACTTTTAAAGTTTTTACCTAAGTATCTACTGTTTAGTCAAATGCTGCCACCCTGAATGATGTAAGTTTTACCAAGTACAGAAGTGAGTTTAGAAGAAAGGAAAGCCAAGGGGAGGCTCAATGCTGGAGGCAGTTTGGCACAAAGCAGAAGGAAGGGCTGTGAGAGGAATCTCAGGGAAATGTGGGACTGAAAAGTGAGGAAGACAGAAATGGTTGATTGAAATGGTGATAAAATCAAATGTCATTACTGGCTGATATGCAATTGTGAGCCAAGCTGCATAGCACCAGAATCCGAAGAGTATGCCCCCTCTCACTCTAACCTGCACCTCAAGCTTTCTGCCTTCACTAGTACTTACTTACTTTCACCACAGTCCCAGCAGCTGGAAGGAAAATTCCCTTCTCTGCACTTGGCTGAGAACCCAGCCAATCCGTGGTTCTCATGCAGAAAGGGATAGACTTGCGGGTGAAGGTGGAAGAAAACTTTGGCTTTGTTTGTGGGGTTGGAAGTGTTTCTGATGAAACTATTTTAGTACATTACTAATCTGATTTTTAAATAAGAACAATTTAAAAATGTATCATTCACACCTGGAGTTTATGAATAGAACTCACTTATAAACCAGGGATTGCCCATAGGAGCAGTCCTCTGTAACCTCCTCATGCCCCTTTGGAAGGGTACAGGTCAGTTCCTAATAATCCTCTGCGAGGAAACTCACATCTGCAACTTTAATGTAGACACTTATCGTTTGCCAGATCATTTATGGCTATCAGGCAAGTCCATTTCAACCTCCAAACATTTGTTCATGCTACCCTAACTTTCTCTGCCTAAGTTTCCTCATTCATATTATTCACACATTCAAGTCCAGCTCAGATTTCTTCATAAATGTGAGTCTCCTCTGAATTTGAAGCAATTTTAGCTACTCCAGATTTCCTTACCTGTCATCGATAGCATTTACCATTTGATCTTACTACTTTGATTTATTGCCATAGGATCTCAAAAATAGTTAAGACAGACAACGAGATCTTCATCTTTTTTTTTTTTTTTATCACCCCCCAAAAACATAGCAAAGGCTTATAGAGACATCTATTGCTTAGGGGGTACTTGTGCATTGATTGATTTGTAGAAAGCATTCCTTTTTTGATTTTCACTACCCACTACACATATTCTAATCCTTTTCGTGTTGGAAGTATTTTGCAACACATCAGAAAACTTTTATCTCTTCACTTACCAGCAATGTGTTTATAGACTGGGCCATTATGCGGGAGTGGGATTTCAGGGTGTTAAAATTGAATACAGGAGTTATTAGGCGCCGGTGCTGGTACCACCTGTTTCCACTTAGACTCACTAGTCCTTCTCCTTGAGACAAAAAAGGCACAAAAACATTTTATTAGAAGGAGAGGTAAGGAACCAGACATCATGGACTGACCATGATGTGCAGTTATGATGTAATAGAATGTCAAAGCAGTGCTCATATATTAAGATAAAGGTGAGTTTTTTTTTTTTAAAGATATATTTTATTGATTTTTTATAGAGAGGAAGGGTAAGGGATAGAGAGTTAGAAACATCGATGAGAGAGAAACATTTATCAGCCGCCTCCTGCACACCTCCTACTGGGGATGTGCCGCACATGTCCTTGACCGGAATCGAACCTGGGACCTTTCAGTCTGCAGGCCGATGCTCTATCCACTGAGCCAAACCGGTTTTGGCGATAAAGGTAAGTTTTGATGCTTACATCTGGGATGAATGTAGTTAGAATTGTCAGAAATCCCACTTTATGAAGCTTTATGAGAGTGCTCATATTGAAATAATCAGTTACTACCTGTGTAATAATTAAGTCATTTAATCTTCTGAAGGTTTGATTTTCTCAATGACCAAGTGTGATAATAAATATCTACTGTGTTTCTGTGCAGATTAAATTAAGATGTATATATATATAAGGCACATTAGCTGGTCTCTAGCCGACCATGGAGACACAACAGATATTAATCTTCCCTCAGTCCAAACCAACCCATAAACTATACTGTGAACGTAAAATTCACAAGGAACTGGACAAAATCCACTATGTCCCTAGATAACTCCTCCTTGAGCCCTTGTCAATGTTCACACCCATGAATAATACAAACAGAAAACACTCATCAAGCCTAATGCCTCCTAATCTTCTGTTACCAGGGAGGTCATTGAAGATTTTACTTTAAAAGAAACTCAAAGCATATCCTATGTAAAAGCCCAATATGCTAAGTGTTTGGTCAACAATTTGGCCATTCAACCAATCAATGTGTAATATGCTAATGATAGGCTAAGGCTGCTCAACCACTCACTATGACATGCACTGACCACCAGGGGGCAGACGCTCCAATTGGTAGGTTAGCTTGCTGTTGGGGTCCAGCTGATTGGGACTGAGTGAGATGGGCCAGACATGCCCTGGAGACCTTCTTCGGTCCCTTCCCAGCTGGCCAATCTCCTGCGTACCTCCCCAGCCCAAATCGTACATCAGTGGGGTCCCTCAGCATGGCCTGTATCCTCCTGCAATCTAGGACCCTTCAGTAGATGTCAGAGAGCCAATTTTGGCCTGATCCTGCAGGCTAGGTTGAGGGACCCTGTTTCTGTATGAATTTGTGCATTTGGCCTCTAGTTAATATATAATTGCAATCCTTCATTAAGGGTTTACAACACACCACTCTTGCAATGTATGGTCAGGCACTGGTATGATGATAGCTTTTACAAACAGTGCTGAAAATACATTTGATTTAATCTTCTCAACAGTCCAGAGATGTAACTCTCTTTCTCATCATCAAAGGTGAAAAAACTAGTCAGTGGGGGGTTGTATTCCAATTCAAGTAGTTCTAAATCCAAAACCCATGTTCTTTCATTTAATTCCTTTCTTGTCTAACATAAATACCAATTACATGACTAAAAGACTTAATTTATCTGCTCATGAACTATTTCCATACTGTATTTTGGAGCAAAATTTTACTGATTTGCATACAGAAGTAGAAGAAGTCAAAAAAGAAAGGGAAAAAGCCAAGAAAACAAGAGAGAAGAAAGGATAAAATAAAAAATACTGATGGCTAGGCTGCAATTTTAAAGACAGAGATAGGACAGATATATACATATGCTGCCTTGAGAATGAGATTTTAGGGACAGAACTGGACAAGGAGGATTCCTAGGAAGTTGTGCTGTTACCATAGCATTTCTCCTGACCTTCCCCCTAGATAACTTGCAGTATAGGTCTACCATACTCTTAATGCTTTTGAATTCTGATTTGAGTTTCTTTGGAATGCTCTACTATAGCAAAGGGGGCTTCTAGCAAGAGAGTGGGGTCACATACATACCGATTGTGAGAGTCAAGTACTTGTATAAGTATTGGGACTTGGGATCTGCAGAGTCAAGCAGGGGAAACAAAAGACAGCATTAGAGGAAAATTATCAAAGTTGGTGAAGGTTTTCTCATTTGCCCACATTAACCCCAAATAGTCAGTAAAAGGAAACACAGGGCTCATTCTTGCAGCCCTTGGCAGGTGTAGGGGTTGGGGAGTTGACAAAACTCTTGGTTCAGGAATCAGAGACAACAAACCCCATGAGGCAGATAGGTGCATGAACCCAGAATCTTTTCTCATTTACATTTCTTACATCACACACAGAGATTACCTGCGGGTTACAAAGTTTCCAGAACAGGAGTTGGGACAACATATATGTGGTTTCTTTTGGTGTGTGTTTTTTGGGGGGGGTGGGTGACAACAGGGGTTGGAGAAACACCAGAAATCAAGGCATAAGTGCCACCTGTGGTTCTCATGAACTCTAACGTGGTGTTTACATCTCCTGTCCTTCAAGAGACAAACATGAACCCAATCTGGAGAACTGCTAAAAAATATTGGAGGTTTTGCTAAAAGTAATGGAGAGAATGACACAGGGAAGAAAGATCTGAATATCACACCTTAATTTACAAAGTTGATGGAACAAAAACTGGACATTTAATTTTGTGCTATGAGATAATGTACGGTGGAGCCTTGAAAAAGAATTGGATGGAGGAGTCAGAAAACTTGTGCTCCAAAGGGAACACAGTTGAGAAATATGCAAAAAATGAAAACAAAATGTGGACCACAGAGGAGAGGTTAGCCTGAGTAAAGCAATGGCCTGGCATTCAGGGTTACATACCAAACCGGCACAGGCAGAGCTTCTTCTGAATTTCTCTGAACACTTACATTCAAGAAAGGGGCCGGGCTGGGGAGTCTTGCTGACACGGAAGTCACAAAACCAAAAAAGGAAAACAAAGCCCAGGGTGATCTGGTGGTGCCAGCTGGGCTTCAATACATTGACCTATATTCAGAGGGGTCTGAACTAGAGAATGACTGGGGTTGTGTGGGAAGGATTGGTGGAAAGCTTCTTAACACTTCCTCCAGTTCCCATTGGAGACCTAATACCAATCTGCTTTGAAATTCCTTTAGAATCATGCCTATGGGTTGTGCATATCACTCTTAGGAGGTTGAGGTTGCTGAGATTCATTTCTTTCCTTCTTTTTTTTTTTTAAATTTGATTATGGTATCACATAATTGTCCTCACCCCCCCCCCCCCCTATGAGATTCATTTTTATCTTACCTGATCTGTTCAGAAATGTCTTTGCATAGTCCGGGTCATAGATCTGGAAAAATATCTCAAAGGGCCCAATCCAGGCAGGAAAGGCACATGGGTATTTTTTCACAAACTCCTCAAATAATTCTAAATCACCATTCTGAAATAACTGCAGTGAAAAAAGTGAAGAAAATTAGAAATGCGAACCAGTCTACACTCAGCCCCTCTTACAGAGCCTAATTGAGTTCAGAGCCTGCGTAGCGTCACCAGGCAGAGGAGCCTGACCCTTTTTACTGGAAGTGGGTGAATATGCTTTTCTTGGGATTCCCAAGCTTGGGGTATAGCATTCTAAACAAGGATAGTGCATTTATCTTCTCAATATAAATATACTAGAGGCCCAGTCCATGAAAAGTGTGTGAGTAGGTTTCCTAGACCTAGCCTGGCCTTCCTTGCATGGCCTCTGCCAACCAGTGATGCTACATGAAGCACCCCGTCCTAGGATGCTCTGCAATGCTTGCATCCACTGCCCATTGACTGCTCTGCAAGGCGCCCCCCACCCCACTGCTCCATGAGGGTCCCCTGACCCCTAGACTGCTCCGTGAAACTCCCCCTGCCCTGTGACTGATTTGCAAGGCTACCCCACCCTTGAACTGCTCTGTAAACCCCCCCCCCCCTTCACACACACAACAGCTTGCTGAAGCTCAATAGTCCCCAGTCCTGCCATCCCTGCCTCATGGCGAGTGTTTGAGGTTGGGAGTGGGGGGTGGTGAACCAAGAAATGCTCCATGTACCTCCAGGTGACTGGTAGTTTAGTCCTTACCCTGGGGCCACAGGACTTTTATAATATAGATTAGATGCCTCTTGCAGGAACATTCCTGCAATAGGGCTTCCTGCTGTAGTTGCTGCCCCACCTGCTTCCCTTCCTTCTCCCCCACCCCACTTGCTTGCTTCTCCACAGTGCTTGGCTTCTTTCTATGCATCTTCATTCATGGCTCTGGGCTGGATATGCAAATTAACTGCAATCTTCGTTGGGTTGATTTGCATACTCACTCTGATTGGCTGGTAGGCGGGGCTTGTGGGCATAGCTAAGGTGCAGTCAATTTGCATGTTTCTATTATATTAGGTAGGATGTTGTATTCCCAGACCAAATCACTGTCAAATGTGAGCTGTTTTCCCAGTGGAGAGGGTGAAGGGCGTCCAATCATATGCCCTGCCTCATCTGCCAAGGTCACACACACAGATTAGGTGTGGCATCTGAAAGCTGAAAAAGATTTTTTTTTCTATGTGGAAAGCTAACTGTTAGTGTGTTGAACATGATTCATCATTCAGCATACCATTCCCTCTCCTGTTCCTCTAATTATTGATGATGTCTTTTTTTTATATAATAACTTAATAGTAAATACTTCCATCCTGCCAACTCCATCTACAAAGAAAATCCAATTCTTTTTTCATATAACAGTAGGAGTTCATTTATTTGGGAATGTGAAGCTTGCTGCAAACTCAAATGCAAAACTCTCAACCAACCACCACCACTTCCCATATGCCCCACCTGCCCCTGTGCAGCCCTTATTCAAGCATCACTTCCTCATGGTAACTGAACTGCCAAGCCATGACCATTCTGCCCTACCTACCAAAGTGTTTGAAACAATTCCATCATGGCTAATCTGATCTCTCCCTAATGCTGACAACTGACAACATTATATTTAGCCAGTGATTCTTATTTACCTTTAAGTCAGTCAAAATGCCTCTGTGTGGAATGAAAGATTCATCACATGTGACCCAAGTTCACACTAGTGAAAGGTATCAAAAAGAAGTCAACATTACTGCCTAGATAAATTACATGATTTCCTGTGGCTCGATGCATGTGATGTATCTTCTCATTCTTGTTCAGATAACTGTGTGCCAGCTGTGTATAGACACGATGTAAGAGATATATCTAAAATATGCCCCCACTTTCCCTAGATACAAGATCTTGCTTTGAAATGAATCTATTTATTTCCAATGTCTGCTAATGTCCTTGCCCCTGCTGATGTCCAAGAATATGGCACTTATTCTTGGATAAGTGCCATAAATTTTTGCTTCTTGCTTTTACAGTGCCATATTATCCAAGGTTGGGAGGGGGGTGGTGAACCAAGAAATGCTCCATGTACCTCCAGGTGACTGGTAGTTTAGTCCTTACCCTGGGGCCACAGACTTTTATAATATAGATTAGATGCCTCTTGCAGGAACATTCCTGCAATAGGGCTTCCTGCTGTAGTTGCTGCCCCATCTGCTTCCCTTCCTTCTCCCTCACCCCACTTGCTTGCTTCTCCACAGTGCTTGGCTTCTTTTATAATATAGATTTTTATAAAATCCCCACAGTGCTTGGTGCACCAATGGTTATTTCTTGGTTCACCACCACCCCTCCCAACCTTGGATAATATGGCACTGTAAAAGCAAGAAGCAAAAATTTTTAAAAATAATATATCAATAAAAACAAACTCATCTGCAAAACTAAAAAAAGAAAAGAAAAAGAAAACCAAAAAACCTCCTCCCTTCATCCTCTCAGTTGAGAAAACAGCTCACAGTGTATGTCATATGACAGAGACTTGGTCTGGTAATATAACATCTATACTAATAATAGCCTAGGTAGCATGATGCCCTCACATTGTTACAAGATGGCCGTCACAAAACAACCATGAGCACAGTGGAGGCGGGGCCTGGCGGCCACTCCACACAGTGAGACCTGGGGGGTCCTGCTGCTCTGCATGGCATGGAGGAGGTGGGTCCTGGTGTCTTCACCGACTTGGGTCCTGGCAGAGGAGGTGGGTCATGGCAGGGAAGGGTAGTTGTGTGCAATCAGGCTAGCAGGGAAGGGCAGTTGGAGACAAACAGGCTGGCATGGTAGGGTAGTTGGGGGCGATCATACCAGAGGGATAGGGCAGTTGTGGGCAATCAGACAAGCAGGTCAGACATCCCCTGAGGGGTCTCGGGTTGGAGAGGGTGCAAGCCAGGCTGAGGGACACTCCCCACTCCTCATGCACGGAATTCATGCACCAGGTCTCTAGTATATTTATATTGAGAAGATAATTACACTTTCTTGTTTAAAATGTTATAACCCAAGCTTAAGAATCCCAAGATAATGTATAAATCAGAGATAAATACTACAATTAGAAATGAACTTTTTGCCTGATATGCAGACTGCTACTAATGGTTCATTTAAGAAGTTCCATGAAATCACTGATAATAGATTCATTTATATCGGCTTCTTGTGTTACATGGGATAGGAGAGGTGTGGAGACCTATATGTGTGTCTAGGAATGCCCAGCTATGCCCAGCTACACATTTGAGCATGATTGTGGGGACATTGTCATGTAAAAACACCCCAAGACTGCCAAGTTCTTTCTTGTGTGATAACTCACACAGCATTTGCCATGTGATTTATTTGTTCTTACCCTCAGGACAGGTAGAAAACTTTAGCTCCTAATATCCTATAACCAGTTAGCTCCTCTAATTCATGAAGTGCTCCTGGATAGTTTAGGGCCCCTAAAAGACTGCAACTATAGAAATTGCAGACTCTTATTTAGTTCCATTCTGACAGTCAAGGCAGTGACAAGCAACCACCAACACCATGAGTGGTTTGCCAACAATGCTAATATTTGTTCATTTGCAGAAAATAAACTTATTAAGTGCCTATTATATGTATCAGGTGATAGAGATACAGAAAAATATAAGACAGGCAAGGTCTTTGCCCTCATGGAACTTACAGCCTAGTATGAGGATTACTTTTTAGGTTAGAAAGGATCATAGACCCCCTCATCCATAAACATTTGGTTATACATTTAGAAAGTCCTGTCTAGACAAAAAGGATAGAAAGTTAAATGAATCCTATAATATATGAGTTGATATTTTTTTCATCCATGGCAGCATTAAATACATTTGAAAATACATATTACACATATTTAGAAGACATTGTTCAGAAATATTTGGAAATTGTTTAATCCCTGGAGTCATTGTAACAGCTAACATTTACCAAACACTACTATGAACTGGGTGCTTCCAAGTGCTAACCTTGTTTAATATCCTTTAATTTTTGCAGCAGGAACCCTATGAAGCAGGCACAATTGCAATATCCATTTTATAGATGCGGAAATTGAGCCTTAGAGAAGTTAAGTAATCTGTTCAAGGTTGTACAGTTGCAACTAGTAGTAAGGATTCAATCCCATGAAGAACTCTGGAGCCCAAGTACCTTACTACTTAGTTATATGGACTTTCCCTGAATTACATACAAGTGTGCATGTGGGCACATGTGGGTGCACACACATATACCTGCATATGCAATATACTCGGTCCCACACATTGGCTGGGATTCATTGGTCTACTGAATAAGTATCAATCTACCTGGGTCCTTTCTTTGTAGTCAATAGATCTTTGAATAAATAAATTTATTTAGCACCTAATATCTGTGCATTCAATAAAATAGTTATTAAGCACCCATTATGAGCCAAGCACTGGGTTGATAGTGTTGAACCCACCTCTCACAGATTTTGTATTCTTGTGGGAAGGAGAGCAGAATATAGTAAAGGAGTATATAATATGGTAATAGGGAATGATAAGTGCTAAGATAATAAAAAATGGGATAAAACATATTTGAAGGCCCTATTTTAGTTTGGGGGTCAAGGACAGGTCTCTCTGAGGAAGTGATATTTGTTTAAAAGCCTGAATAAAGTGCAGGAAGAGCATTCCAATGAAAGAAGAGCATATCCAAAGCCCTGAGGGAGAAATTTTTTTTGGCACCTTTGAAGAATAGCAAGAAGACCAGCATGACGAACAGAGCAAGGAATGAAATTCTTTGTCTTTCAGGAATTTCCCTGATATACACCTATTCCTTCTGGAACCTAAAATGTTTACAATGAAAAATAGTTCCATCCTCTTTTTGCTCCTGAGTAATGAATCATCAAAAGGAACATAGTCTGGTCGGTGTGGCTCAGTGGTTGAGTGCCGACCTATGAACCGGGAGATTGCGCTTCGATTCCTAGTCAGAACATATGCCCAGGTTGTAGACTCGATCTCTAGTGTGAGACTTGCAGGAGACAGCTCATCAACAATTCTCTCTCATCGTTGATGTTTCTACCTCTCACTCTCCCTTCCTCTCTGAAATCAATATAAATGTTTAAAAAAATTTTTAAG